GCTGTGAATGTTCTGCGATGTTAAGAATCGGCGACAGGCCTACGGCTGACCAAACGCTGAAACCGCTATTATTATTATTGTTATTTAAACCGATACTATAACAATGACTCGCCTTGAGTTGTTGAGGCTCGAGACGCTCGTTGAGCAGCTGACGCAGTCGCGCCGACAGCTCCTCCGAGTCCCTGGACACGACGGTGTTGATGAGGCGCCGGAACACTGCCTTCGTCGACGAGTTCTGCACGTCTGACCAACAACGAGCATCAGGAAACTGGTCATGAGACGTGGTCTTATAAAGCACAATTGTACATAATTGTACCGGAACACTGCCTGCGTCGACGAGTTCTGCACGTCTGACCAGCAACAAGCATCAGGAAACTGGTCATGAGACGTGGTCTTATGAAGCACAGTTGTACATAATTGTACCGGAACACTGCCTGCGTCGACGAGTTCTGCACGTCTGACCAACAAGCGTCAGGAAACTGGTCATGANGAACACTGCCTGCGTCGACGAGTTCTGCACGTCTGACCAACAACAAGCATCAGGAAACTGGTCATGAGACGTGGTCTTATGAGGCACAATTGTACGTAATTGTACCGGAACACTGCCTGCGTCGACGAGTTCTGCACGTCTGACCAACAACGAGCGTCAGGAAACTGGTCATGAGACGTGGTCTTATGAAGCACAGTTGTACGTAATTGTACCGGAACACTGCCTGCGTCGACGAGTTCTGCACGTCTGACCAACAAGCGTCAGGAAACTGCACCCAGTAAAAATTTACAGACGCGGCAGCTTCTAATTTGGATTACCAGAAGCTGGGGCGACTCTAAATTTTGTTAGTGTAGTTAAGATACGTGGTCTTATGAGGCACATTTGTGGATAATAATACACAAAATCAAGCCTTCAACTACATTAAATGAAGATTCTTTGTTAAGATTCTTCACAACACAATATATATAGTAGAAAAATCAAAAGTGGTCAAGTATAGCAAGTGATCTAAATTATACGGTTGAGACCTTCCATGAATTGAAAGAGAAAATCGTTTTAATTCAATAGTCAATCAACATTGCTCCTTTATTTTTCATAATTTTATTATTCATCATCATATACATGCTTGCATCATAAATACGCGGCAATGAATCTCTGAAAATTTTCGATTAAAATAACTTATTTAAAACACTTCCACTGAAGTATGAGCAAGCACTCATACCAAGCAAGTCAGGCGTTTGCCCTAAACTTCTCGCAGATGCTACGGAGGAAGTGAACGCCAACACGATGAGTCCCAGTAAACCTTTCATGGCTGAAGAGTTGATGCCTGGAAAAAGTAAGGTTATTATTTGCTACTCAAAGGAATATATTTTGGATTTTCTATAAATATTTTACATTGCAGAGACTTTTTATTTATTCATGGTTGTTCTCGTGGTTCAAAAAATAAATTCTTGACAGAATCCGAATTTCATGTTGTAATGATGTCGATTAGAATAATATCTGTCGCAAGACTGAAGTGAATTTTAGACCAACAACCAACTGACGGGGTTCAAAAAATAAATTCTTGACAAAATCCGAATTTCATGTTGTAGTGATGTCGATTAGA